TTGCAGGCCGGTGGTGGAATCACTGAGCTAAATCCCCAGCCCCCATGTATATTTTTTTGGACTTGAGTGTGGAAACAGTTCTTGGCCTCCAGAGCCCATAAAATCCCCTGTAATCTAATTGGTGGCCTGAAAACTGGACCCCATCAAGTGAGGGGACGCATGCCTGGCGGAGGGTGGAGATGAAGGTATGGCAGATTAGGAGAACCTGGGCAGGAGGCAGGGCTCTGAAGGCCTGGCTGGAGCGGGACAGATGAGGCCATGGGTGGGATTTGTTGATGTCTTTGGCCGTGGCTGGGCCCCTACGGAGCAGAGGTGGAGCAGATGTGCAGCAGGAAGGGCTGGTGTGGAGGGGGAGGGCACCCAGGGCTCTCGAAGCTCTGCCTGTAGGGAAGGAGGCTGTGAGATGAGCTTGGGTGGAGACTCACTGTGGCTGCCTCCCAGACTGGATGGGAACTCGGGGACAGTACAAGTACAAGGTGACTTTGCCTCTGAGTAACACCAGCCCCTCCCAATAGCCTCTTACCCAGAGATCAGCAGGCAGTGTTTCAAAAAAGAACCATGTGACAAACTAAGAGAGCTAATACCTCATCCTGGCACTGCTCTTACCTGGCTTCCATTGCACAGATACTTTACTAGTTACCTACTAAGTGTGAGACCCTGCTGCAGGCTCTAAAGACAAAGTAAAAATGTGTGATGTGTGCATGTCAGGTGCTTGGGGACTCTGGCTCAGGATGTGCAGGGGGGGTGGGGGTGGGGGGAGAGGTTGTGGTGTTTGTGTGTAATCCAGGAAGACCTCACTGACAGTTGAGCAGAGTCTCGAGGCGGGTACAAAGGCCCTGGGGTAGGGCTGCACCTCAAGTGTTGAAGGAACATTGCATATGGCAGGATCAGAGTAAACAAAGGCAGAGGGCTGGGGACAGCCCAGAGTGCTGCTTGTTGGCAGGGAAGCATGAGGAAGTCCTTCCTTCTCATGGTGCTGGACTTCCTCTCCCTGTATAGTAGGGAGGTAGATCACTTCTGTCACACACACCCAAAATTGGGAAGGAGGGCGGCCAACAGAAGACTCTGCAGGCTGAGACAAGGAAGCCAGGGAGAGTCAGGCTGAGTGTTTGTCACGAAAGCCACCTCAGAGCCAGGGTGGTGTGGCTGGTTGTTCAGCTGGGCAGCATCCATCTCCAAGGGGCCCGGCTGTCTCAGGGAGGGCTGGTGCCCCACTGTCCCAGTGCCATAGGCCAGTGCTGCCCACAGCCCCATCTCTGGAAAGTGTCAGCCTCCTGCTGGTGCCAGGCTTGCCTGTGCAACACTGCCCTGATGCCGTCGTCTTTTTTTTTGGTACCAGGGATTGAACTGGGGTCTTTGCACTTGGGCACCAGGCAGCAAAACCACTGAGCTAAATCCCTGGCCCCCGATACCATCTTCTTGCTTCTTACTGTTGCTTTTCTTTTCCCTCATAAGTCTGTTTCTTTGCCATTTCCACAATGTCTGGGTCTCTGTGCACCATGCTACAGCTGCCCCTCTTCCTCAACTAGGTTACCTGCTTCCTGCTTCTGCGCTGTGCTGCAGTTGGGTATGAACTCAGGCTTGGAACCGCCTCGTGTCAGCCTGACAGTGCCCACCTTGGGGCACAGTCAGGGTGAGGCTCGGGCAACCTGAGCTATAGACCAGAGGTGGGCTCTCGGACTCCCTGGGGTTTCCAGGGCTGCTCCTGACCCCTTCCAGCTAGAGCTCGGCAGTGCTCTTCATGGGGCCTTTTAAACTGGCGTCCTCCTCCGCCATGGCTGGTGGCCACAGACCAGGAGTGAGAGCAGTTACTCAGAGGGGTAGAGCAGCCCCCTGCTGTGGGTCAAATTCTCTGTAGGAGAAATGGAAATGGGAGGAGATTAAAAAACCATAGTGTGTTCCTTTGGCCATGGCATGCGTGCCATGAATGCACAGCCAATTCCACCTTCTCTCAAGTCTTGGCCACTCAGAAGCCAACAGGGAAGCTGAGCCGCTTATTCCTCCACTCACCCCACCTCTGCCTCCTTCCCGACAGGCATGGAGTTTGAAGGTGCCATCATCGCGCTCTTCCACCTGTTGGCCACACGCACGGACAAAGTCCGAGCCCTGAGAGAGGCCTTCTACCGCCAGAACCTCCCCAACCTCATGAACCTGATTGCCACCATCTTCGTCTTCGCCGTGGTCATCTACTTCCAGGTGAGTCCCTCCCAGCTCTTACAGCTCCTTGCTGACTTGACCATAGGAGGGGCCCTGCCCTTTGAGACTTCTTGGGGTCTGAAGTTACTGAGTCTGTTTAACCTGCTTTGAAATAAGAGAATCTAACTGCTAGTTGGCCTTTCTGTAATTGCATTGATTTTTTTTTTTTTTTTTGGTACCGGGGATCGAACTCGGGACCTTGTGCTTGTGAGGCAGGCTATGGAACCACTGAGCTAAATCCCCGGCGCTGATTTTTTTTTTTCTTTTTTAAGACAAGGTCTTGCTATGTAGCCCCAGCTGGCCTTGAACTCTCCTCCTACCTCAAACCTGCCAAGTGCTGGGATTACAGGAATGTGCACCACACCCAGCCCATTAGGAATTTATTCTAAATCCCTTGTATTCTAAGCCCTGCTGTTGTAGGGCTGGGCAGATTGTAAACATAAGATAACAGAAACTCTTGCTACTCTCCAAGGGTTTCAGAGGGAAAGGTTAATACTGTAGAAAGTTCAGCTTTTCTATTGATGAATGAAAGCATTGTAAAGGCTGCTGAGATGCCACCATGTATAATCCTAGCTGCTGGGGAGGCTTAGGTAGGAGGATCACAAGGTGTGCATGCATCCAGCCTGGGTTACACAGTGAAACCTTGTCTCAAAAATAAAAAATAAATAAAAAATAAAAAGGGCAAGAAATGTAGCTCAGTGGAGAGTTCTTGCCTAGCATGTGCAAATCCTGGGTTCTGTCCCAGCATTGAAAGGACCACAGAGAACCACAGCGTTGGAAAGGACCATCCTAGGGTGTGTGACCCCTGTAACGGCAGCACGGGGATGACCACACCTGGAGACCCGCTTTGGGATTTGGGTTCATATCTAAGTGCTTTTCTGTCTGGGCCACATGGGTGCCATGCAGTGGGCTTTGGCTTTTGTCAAGCGTAGGATTGTTCCTGCTGTGCTTGGTCTGGCTGGGAGCACTCTGTGTGGCCCAGGTACAGTAGTGGGTGAGGAAGCCCGGCTCCCTCTCTGCATTGGAGCTGACTAGACAGCAGGGTGTTCTGTGCTTCCCAGGGCTTCCGGGTGGACCTGCCCATCAAGTCTGCGCGCTACCGTGGCCAGTACAACACCTACCCGATCAAGCTCTTCTACACCTCCAACATCCCCATTATCCTGCAGTCCGCTCTGGTGTCCAACCTCTACGTCATCTCCCAGATGCTGTCTGCACGCTTCAGTGGCAACCTGCTGGTCAGCCTGCTGGGCACCTGGTCTGTAAGTGCAGCAGTGCAGCCGGGGCCATCCTCCAGCGGGTAGTATGTGTGTGTGTTCTGCAGGGGACTGACTGTCATTGAAGGTCGTCTCTTTTCCCTAAGAAAGCCATCCTGCGGGCACCTGAGTGAAGCTGTTCTCCTTTCTCTGCTCAGAACTCTGGGTCCTGTGCTGAGCGTTGGGGAGACAGCATTCCCAAGCTTTCTGTTGCTTCTGCCTAGGACACATCCTCCGGGGGACCAGCACGTGCTTACCCAGTTGGTGGCCTGTGCTACTACCTGTCCCCTCCGGAGTCGTTCGGTTCTGTGCTGGAAGACCCGGTCCATGCAGTAGTGTACATCATATTCATGCTGGGCTCCTGCGCCTTCTTCTCCAAGACCTGGATCGAGGTCTCCGGCTCCTCCGCCAAAGATGTGAGTAGGGGCCATCTCTGTGAGGAGATAATCTGTCCCTGTACGGTATGGATAACAGCTCTTCCCAACTGGTGGTGTGCACTTGACACCTGCAGGTGGGTCACCTGACAGCCAGCGCTGGGTCACTGAAAGGAAAGGTTCAGCTTCGCCCATGAGCCCTTGGGGCAGTTTTGAAGTTCTCTGTGTAAATATCATTCATGCCACAGAGGAACAATGAAATATCCACTTCCCCTCAGCATCCAGATTAAAATTGGAGCCAGGGGGCCAGGGATTTAGCTCAGTGGTTCCGGTGACTGCCTTGAAAGTACAAGGTCCCGAGTTCAATCCCTGGTACCAAAAAAAAAAAAATTGGAGCCAGGCTTGGAGGTGCACACTTGTCACTCTAGCACTAGGAAGCTGAGGCAGGAGGATTGCAACTTAGCAACTTGGTAAAAACCTGTGTAACAAATAATAAACGAATAAAATTGAGTGCCTCTTCTGCTTGGACCTCATGCAGGTTGCAAAGCAGCTGAAGGAGCAGCAGATGGTGATGCGGGGCCACCGAGAGACATCCATGGTCCATGAGCTTAACCGGTGAGTGCGCCTGCCGCCTTGCAGTCAGGGCCGAGTGCTGCTTTCTTTTCTGGGTCACGCATCCTTGTGCTCTAGGGTAGAAAAGGTCTCTTTGTCATTAAATATTTATGACCTTGCTAAGCTGTGGACACTGGAGATGTAAAAATGAAAGTGTAGAGCCACCCTCCCGAAAGGGGAGCCTGGGCAGAGAAACAGGCACAGCCCAGCGAGGGCAGAAGGAGACCTCCAGGCAGACAGGGCTGGCAGCAGGCTGCTGTGCACACGCCGCAGGGTGGCCTGAGGTGGCCATCGCCTTGGGCATGGAGAGAAGGGAGGTGGGGGCGTGGGAGAACAGTATTGGCAGCGAGTGTTGTGGGCCTTCTGGGCCACAGTGTCTGTTGGAGCTGCTCAGCTCTTCCACTGTCACTGAAGAGCAACCAGGCAGCACATAGAGTCCCCACTGAACTGTGGCCAGAGTCCACTGGCAGACAGGAGGCCGTTGCACTCCTCTCCCCGCGCGCCTCCCAGTCAACTGCAGAGTGCTGCAGAAATACACTCAAGGCATATCCCTAGATCTTAAGTTTCAAGCAGCCACAGTTTTTTAAAAAACTAGGTGAGATTAATTTGAATATATCTAAGTCAGTATGTCTAGAGTATAACTTCACGTTGCATTGATGTAAGAAAAGTCATGTTGCGGGAGTTTACACTCTTGTTTCCAAGCTAACTGGACAGTCATGGTCCCCGGTCATATGTGGCCCACCTATAGGGCAGCTCTGGTCTCAGCCCACATTGGGAGACAGCCAGTGGCCTGGGAGGGCAGCAGGCTCCTGCATGGTGGGGGAGTCCAGCCCTTACACGGGCCCAGGGAACCCAGAGCTGACCATGTCCCGGCCCCCAGGTACATCCCCACGGCCGCAGCCTTCGGTGGGCTCTGCATCGGGGCCCTCTCAGTCCTGGCCGACTTCCTGGGTGCCATCGGGTCTGGAACTGGGATCCTGCTGGCAGTCACCATCATCTACCAGTACTTTGAGATCTTCGTGAAGGAACAGAGCGAGGTTGGCAGCATGGGCGCGCTTCTGTTCTGAGTAGGAGGCCGCTTGAGCTGCCAGAAGGAGCCCCACCGCAGAGGGTGCTGCTGTGGCATACAGACTAATGTTTAATGATGACTTTTTAATTTCATATTCTTTCATTCCACTGTGTAAAGTGCTAGAAATTTTCCAATTTGAAATTTTGCTTTTAGTTTTCCGCCATTGGCAAAAAAAACTATAGAAGGGAAGTGTTTGTCAGCTGGCCACCGGAGCCAGGGTGGTAAGCAACTGTCCCCAACTGTCCATGTCACTTTTGTCTGAACCTTCACAGCTCCGGGGGTCCCCACTATCCCCCACACGGGTGGGCAGTGTCCCATTCCGGTTGGAAGCACAAACTGAAACACCTTCAGGGCAATGCTGGAGCGGCGTGTGTGGCCTCTGGGGACGTGGACATTGGATCCCCGTCTGTCTCCATTGTCCCCTGGGAGGCTGGCTTAAGACTGTTCTGTCCAAGACTCCACTGTCCCTTTTCTAAGGTCTTCAGGTAGAGCTCAGAGGTGCACAGTCTCTGGAACTCACTGCACCGCCATGGGTCCTTCGAACAGTGCACCAGGAGGGCTGCCTGGTCCTACTGCTGCCTGTTGTGCTGTCTCCTAGTGGCTGCGCTCACTGCTCCCCTCCGTCCCTAGGGAGGGGAGCCACTGTAGCCGCGCCAGACCCAGAAGGGAAAGGCTCAGGGTCCAAGCCACTTCCGCCTCCCACTCGTGTTTTAGAATCTCTTTTTGCTCATATGCAGGTAAGCAGATGACAAGACACCACCAGTCTCCTTGCCTTCACCAGGGCCATGAGCGGGGACAGGTGTGCAGGTGGGGTGAGGGCCCAGTCAATCGGGGGGTTTCCTGGGAACATTGCTGCAGTTTGAAGACTCACAATTATGTTGGAAGTAAGCTCTGTCTAGGAGGACAGTCGACAGATGACAGGGTAAAGCCTCTGGCCTCAGGGAGGCCCTCTTAGGAGGGGAACAGAGGCTCTGGGCTGACTCTGGGCTCTAGATGCAGGTGGGACCAGGGTACTCGGCACCCTTGTGGCTTCTTCCTGCCCGAGACCTCACTGGCAGTGCTGACTGACATCAGCACAAGCCAGGGTGGGCAGGGCCCTCCCCGAAGCCAGGACTTATACCAGTGATGGCAAACCTACTGCAAGCGTGCCACAGCGGGCTGTTTGTTTCATTGAAAGCTCTAAAAGGTTTGCCATCACTGGCTTACACCATACCACACGCGGCCTTGTCAGACCCAGTCCTGAGCAGCCTGCCCTGTGCCCTGTGCCACTGCAGCCACAGCTGGGCTCACCCCTGTGGTTGGCGGTCATGGGATGGGTGGGTGCTGATCCTGGCTTCCAGGGGACTGTCACTGTGGATGCCTAAACGGCACAACTGAGATACAGTGAATATGTGACAAATAAAGCCAACTTTTTACAAGCTGCCTAGTCACATTCTCTTTTTTTTAAAAAAAAAAAGTTTATTCCTTGAAAGGCAGGCAAGCACAGAGGGCTCTCATGTACCTTTAGGATGGAAGGCTCTACCAAGGCTCCAGGGTCCCCACGTGGATGTCCCTCCTCAGGCCACTCTGCAGTAGCACCGTCCTGTGCACTCACATTGATGGTAGAGTGGAGTGGGTGGATGTCAGGAGGCCTGTGGGGTCCCAGCCCCAACACTGCCCGGCTGGCTGGAAGAGGTCTGTGAACTGGGGAAACTCCCCCGGGGAAGGCAGAGTGGGAGCCCCGCTCAGCAGCACCTCCGTGTTGGCAACGCCAACTCCACCTCACCTGGGGTCACTTGCTGTTCCTGCTCCCATGCAGCATGTGTTCTGCCACCCACTTGCTGCACATGACCTCATGTCACCCCCAGTAGACCCCAGGGGAAAACAGCCAAAGAAACTAAGACCCAGGGAAATAGTGGCCAAAGTCACAGCCATGCAGTGGTGGGGATGCAAGGCCCAGGCTCTTCCGACCCCAAGTTCTCTCTGGCTGCTGGCCCTGCAAGGCAGAATGAGGCCAGGAAGCACCAGGTTCCCCCACTGCTCAACCCGAGTCCTCTCCTCTGCCTCTGACACCAACCCACACTGTCCCCTAGCCCGCTCCTGGGTCAGGCTGGTGACATCCTCAGGGAAGTTCCAGCCCCAACCTTCCTGGGCCCTACCACCCACTGCACTCCAGAAAAATAACAGTAAGTGGGGCGGAGCTGCTTCCACCCTTGGGGAGCTCACGCCCCAACAAGTGGGCTCTGCAGTGTGCCAAGTCAGGAGCCTGTGCTCCCTGTCTGCCAAACTCCTCTTCATCCTTAAAGGCCCACTCAGGCTGCAAATGGGCCAGGAGAAGGTGCCAGGATAAACAACACCTCTCCTGAAGAAAGGAACTAGGGCACTGCACCCTCTAAGAACTTCTAAGATGGGCTATCAGGAAAACACAAAAGAACAGCAGAATAGCTGTCATATTTGTGTTTAGTCTTGGTGGGGAGTGGGTAGAACCTAGACAATGGTCCAGTAAACTCTCAGAAACGACCTATGTCTCCTGCCAGCCACTGCTCTCTCCTATAGGACCTGTGCAGGAACAACGTTCCCGCTGGCTGAGCACCCTCCCCTGCCCCAACAGGTCACAGCAGGACAGATGGGTGAACTGGGGCGCATCCGAGGGCTCAGGAGCATGGTTCCAAGGAAGCAGTCACTACAGAAGGCAGAGCTAAGCCGAGGCTTCCAGTTGGTTCCGGTTCGGTTCGGCTGTCTCGGGAGCTGGGGAGGGCCAGGGAGAGGGACGAGACCTTTCCAAGTGCTAGCCGCAACCTTGATAGGGCTCAGTCTTCCTTGGTCAGCACTAGTGGGCTGGTCCGCTGAAGATGGGTGCTTTTCACTGTGTGTAAATTGAGACTTCAAAAAAAACTACAATATAGCCAAGTGTGGTAGACCCTACCTGTAATCCCAGGGCTCAGGAGGCTGAGGCCAGCCTGGGCCGCACAAGGAGACCCTGTCAGTCAATCAATGAGTAAATGTTCCGGGAAATTAGACAGACGTATGTACACAAGCACAGTATTTCGAAACTTAGAAGTGTGGCCCTGTGCTGGTGACAGAGCAGGGGTGTGGCTGGTCACGCCCTCTTGGGCGGGGAGCAGGCGGGGCCTGTAGGGTGCACCCGCCTCGCCGGGGCGCTGTGGCCTCGCCATCCTGGGGCGGGCGGGCGCCATCCGTCCCTCAGAGGGCTTGAGGAGCTGTATTGCCCCTGCGGCTGCCCTCGCCAGCCCGTGCCCGCAGGGGCGCCTCGCGGTCCCCCTGCATCCCGAAGACGTCCTGGCCAAGGTCCCCCGAGCCCCAGTCCGTCCCCGTGGCCACTCCTTCCGGCGGGACGGCGTGCGGGGCACGAGGATGGCGCGGTGGCGCGCTGGATCCCCCTGGCCGACGCCCCAAGTCCTCAGGTCCCCGCGTCCCCGCCCCGCCGTGTCGCCCCGAGGCCCCATTAATCACGGCGCTGACAACGGGAGGCGGGAGGCGGGCGGGAGGCGGCGGCGGGGGCGCGATCGCAGCGCCCATCGCCCTTATCGCGCCGGCCCAGGCGCCGCCCCGCCGCCATTGATCACGGGCCGGGCCAGGGTCAGCGCGGCGACGCGGTGACAGCGCATCCATCCAAGGAGACGCGGGCGGCACGGCCAGCCATTAATCACCGCCTGCCGCGAGTGACGGCCGGGCAACTGGGCCCTAGAGGCAGCCGAGGAGGAGCGGCCCCCATTGAGGAAGCACGGACAGAGACGGCAGGGTCAGAGGTGATGAAGGGGCTGCTTCCCACCAGCTGGAAAGGCAGCTGGCCCACCCTGGCCAACACCAGTGCTGGCTGCGACAAAGGGGTCACTTCTCCCCCTGGCTGGGCAGCACCAGGATGGGATCCATGGGGTCCAGGGAGAGGACGTGAGCACTGGTTCTTGGAAGTGTTGGGCACAGAAAATGCTAGGTCCTGTCCTCTCCTGATGGCCCTGAGCCCACGGCTGCCCCTGTGGGGACCTCAGGGCTTTGTGTAAACTGGGGGTCCTCAGAGGGGACCAGTGGAGCCTTGTAGGGTACGGGCTCCTGTGTAAAAAAGTGTTGTGCCCTTCTCTGCTTCCAAGAGGGACAGGGTTAGGACCTCTCCTCTGAATGTCACCTCACCAACTCAACACGTCTCAGATACAGCTGTCCTGCCTGCAGATGGGGATGCGGAGGCTGAAGGAGGAGCCAGCTCTGTCCATACCAAGGGCCAGGGGACAGGGGACAATGCAGGCACAGCCCAAGAACCACTGTACCTGCCACCTGTCGCCTCTACCCCATCCTCCACAGCAGGGCTTCTAGAGCGGGCCCCAGGAGGGGACAGGGTGTGACCCCAGCCTCCTTGGGCAACTCCACTGCATTTGAGAAGCAGCTGAGGAAGTCACCTTCTGGTGTGAGCAGGTGTGACCGTGTGTCTCCTGCCCATCAACCTCATGGGCAACCCTAAGAACAAGGTTGGGGTCTGCAGGGATTACAGCTGGAGACCCGTGTCCACCAGCCAGGCCGGGACTGTCTTTCAAGAGCCCTTCCGGCTCCCTGGCATCCAGGTCATTAGTAGAGCAGACAGGGACCAGGATTTATGTCCTGGCCACCCAATCGCTTGCTGGGAGGCAACCGAGGGCCTGGGCCCCGCTCAGAATATTCAGCCACTGCCTCAGCCAGCCCCCACCCCGCTTCACTTTAATATTACAACAATTTTTCACACTGGAGCTGAAATGGTGCAAAAAATGGGGCTGCTGTAATTGTTGTTAGATTGTGTGTCAGGCCGATAAGATGTAACAAATATTTTCCTCCCCACCCGGGTCTGTTTCCCTCTTGGTAATGGATGGAGAAACTTCTCACAGTCTACGAGGGATTGGTCGTAAAAACTTCGCCTGGAAGATTAATGTAATAATCATAGGTCTTACTGGGAAAAAATAGGAGGGAAATTAAAATAACCAAACCTTCCTACCTGTCCAGAGCCATCTGCCACCCTCTGGAACACCAGCTGCCTGGGCACTCCCGTGGCCAGGACAGCAAGGGGCAGAACCCAGGGGCCCAGAGGAACAAGGCTATGCACCCCTTCCAAACCAACTGCCCTGGTGTCAGTGGCCCTGGGCAGCTGGGGGACGCTGTCCAGGCCTCGGCCAGGTCCACTGTTACATGGCTCTATGCTGCTCCTCCTGCGCTGTGGGACACTTGGCACAGATGCCAGAGCCAGCCAGGGCAGAGGCCCGGTCCCAGGCCCCCGATACTGCTGGCCTCAGTACCCAGATGTATCTTGTACCTGCCTCCCTCCTGCTAAATCAACAAGTCGAGCTCCACACGCTGAGGCAGGCTGTGCAGTCATGGGAGTGACAGGTGCACTCTCACAGGCCCCTGCACTGCACCTCATCATCCTCTTCGGATACCTTTGCATCATTCCCAGGCCTTTACCGTGAGGGCAAGACAAACAACACCAAGCACTAACGTGGTCTGCAGCACTCAGAGCGCTCCAGCCACAACACTGGGCACAACTGCAGCCGTGGGTCAGGCCCGAGGGGCGAGACACATCTGGCCTACTGGTCCCCATCCTTGCTTGGACTAAAGCAACAGCAGGACCCGGATGGCCACGTGGCCACATTGCACCTACCTACTACCTCATGACACAAGACCCTGCTTGTCCCCAGGCCAAGGACCTTCCAGCTCGGGGCTGTTGGGGGCTGCCCTGGAGACAAAGCCATAGTGACAAGGACATGCTAAAGGGACACAAGAGGCAACAGGAAGAGTGCTCAATGGCCAAACCAGGACCAGTGTGAGGGTACAACCCAAAGTAAACACACAGTACCCGTAAGTCTATAAATCAGTGGAAGATAAGGTGGTCCCCGGACAGGGCTCCCAACACCTGAGGTAAACATGCAGCCCACGAGGTGGTGTGGCCCTGCCTGGGAAGAGGCGTGGCACAGAGCACAGGGTGGAGGCGGACAGGGAACCCTGACCAATGGGACCCCAGCTGGGTTGTCAATGTAGCCACCAACAGCAGCGAGACGTGAGGAGATGGCATTTCTGCCTGGTCCTCCCCAAACCCACAATCCCAAGCCTGTGAGGGGAGAAGCATCAGACAAACCCCACCTGAGGGACATGCGACACAGAACCTGGTTGACCAGCCCTTGTCCGAATGCAAAGCCACCAAAAACAAGGAGAACCTGGGACACTAGTGACACCAGGAGGAACCTCAGAGACCAAAGGGCCAGGTGTCCTGGGCAGGAAAGGACAGAGCCCACTGTAACCGATGTGCCACCCACTCAGTGTCAGCGACGAGGGAGGCTGGCTGTGGCGCTCACCGAACTCCCCACACCACCTGCACAATAATCCTGGCAAGGCTACACTGCTGTAAGATGTAAAGGATTTGATGGTTGTTATTTGCAGTGCTGGGGATGGAACTCAGGGCCTCAG